TAATAGGGCTAATTTCAGCATTTGTTGCAAGGTTAGGATGGGCCTTTCTAAAGGGCACAAGTCTCGTAGAAAATAAAAATTAATATTCTTACAATTTCCCTATATTTAATTAAAGTTTTCCTTTTGTTCTTCTTAAATTTTTAACTAGAGGTTTCAATTCAGTTAAATCATAAGACAAAGCTTTCAAGTATACATAATTATTATTCATCATATTAACAATATATCATTCTAGGTTCTCTTAAGGTATAGTCTTCTGCAAAATTCCTTGGATTCCTATCAATTTTTCAATACATAAGTGAGTGACCTATAATCCTAAATCATTTCTCCATTATTTTTAACAAAATTCATCATAGATCCTTCTTTCTGATCTAGTTTTTAGTTCTTTTATAATTTTCACATTAATGAATGATTCAAGAGATATAATGTAAAACAATTTTGTTCAATTAATATCAAACTATTATAAATATATTTTATTCTATCAATCATCTATCCTATATCTAAATTATTGGCAACGGTGTTCACCTAATTAGAAGATATAATTACATTGATAAAGTGTACGAGAATATATTAACATTATTATTGCTCTTTATTTCATTGATTTAAATTATTTAAGCAATATTTATTTAAATTTACTCTTAATTATTGGAAGTTTTAGATTGTTATTTATTTAGAATAGATTATATATCTATTTTTTATGAGATAATTTATCCTATATTAGGTGTTAAATTAGCATAAATTGGATCCATTACCAAACTAATTATTTAAGTTGAAATATGAAGTATCATTATAATAATCACAAAAATAGAATTCTTGTATTAAAATAACTTACTTTTCTGTGATGTTTTATATTATAAATTAGATAATTAATATAACTAAGAACAACCTATTAATATCATATTAATTTCACAAAACTATCTGTGTAATAATTAATTACAGAAAAAAAGTAATTATAGGTAAACGTTTTTGATTAATTAAAATATAGTGAAAGAACTTAATTTTCTAAAATTCATAATTTACTATTTTTAATTTTGTGAAAAGAAAATTCATCTTAAAATATTATCAAAATAAAATTGATAATTATAGTAGGGAAATTTATATCAAAAAAGTAGGAAGATGTATCAAATCTAATTTTTGAACAAACAAGTAATCAACATTAAGTATTATTAAAGAGAACTAAACATTTAATATTAAAAGGATAAATGCTTTAACATAAACAATCAATTTATTGGGATTATGTCACAATCAAGTAAATATGATGTTGTTTAAAGGAAGCCAGGAAACTGATATTTGAGGATTGTTGTTAAGTTAAATTTTTTTTTAAGGAATTGAATTGGATTTCTGGACCTTTTTTAATTCTGATTCAATGCATTAATTTTGAGGACTTTAAAAAGGTATTAATAATTTGTTTTAATTGCCCAAACTATAAATATCTATAAATCTTCGCCGAAAGAATGGAATCTTTTCATAACGCTAAAATACCTTAAAGTATAGCTCCTAAAGCTTTTCTCAAGATTTTTAAATTGAGAGGAATAAATATAATTGATAATGGAGTTATAAATGAAGTAGTATCGAGTACATCATCCTAAATATATGATTTCTCAGTTTTTTGTGAAACCTTTATTTTCGAGAATCAGCCTGAATTTGATAATGATCAACTACTGGACCAGATGATTTCTGATCTTAAATTATATCTATTAATGAATATATTAATTAGTTAAGGCAAATTAAAAGTGTTAATTACTATCTCTTCTAGTGAAATTTATTACATGATTTTGAATCAATATTTCACTGAAAGATATTTATATCATATAATAAAGGTTTAAAAGGATTTAGCTCTTATTAATATATTTAATATTATACATTGATATCTACAAATTCATTCTTCCTAAGGTTAAATATCTATAATATTCAATTAAAATGTTAATATCGTTTTAAACTAAATGTTAATTAATTAGTAATCCTTCTTCTTTGAATTTATTTCAGATTCTAAGATTTACTGATTATAATTTTTAATATTTAAAAATAAAATTTTTACTTCAAATTAATAATTCAAAATCATAATCTAAGATTTCTAAATTTAATATTAGATATGTTACTTTTTTGCATCAAAAAATTCTATTCAATTTTATTCATTACATATTTTGATGATTTAAGTTTGAATTGAAGTTTTTGAAGTATAATTGATTATTATTTTCGACAAAAATGAAAATAAGATATGCCAAACTAACAAATCAAAAATAAGCTGCAGCTAAATATTTTAATTATATAATTAATCCTTTGATCGTCTAATAATTAATGATTAGAACATTATCTTTACAGATTCATATTCACTTCTACTTTAATCATAAGAACTTATTTCTTAAATACAAGACAAGAATTAAGTAAATAGTCATTAAATTTATTTCCTCTATAAAAAGTGATTAATTAAGTAATTTTTTCTTCTGATTCTTATTTTCTTCACTCCCCTTATGATTAATTATTTGCAATAAGTCTGTCATATTATAAAGCATTTATGGGGTAATAGGTATCTAAAATCATTTCTCGCAGAACCGATCATATAATGGGTTGTGCAAAAATAATAAATAAATTATTCAATATTATTTATTTTCATTTTATAACAAACAAATAATTAATTTTTGGAATCAACAATTTAACAAAATAACTATTGTAATCCTCTCATTCATAATATTATTATAGATATTTTATTTACTAAATATTTACTATTTTGTTTTGTCTTCTATTATTGAAATTAATAGGTAAGTTAATATTCCTAAAGGAGTTAGATAATTTCTAGATCTTCTTCTCAGGAGTATCTAAGAGTACCTAATTTTATAATGAAAAATATATGGATTTGTGTAAGGAATATCAATTATATATTAGAGCTTTTTTGTTTGTTTGTATTGGGTTGTCTATACTTTAGCAGAGTAATATGACCAAAAGGTTGAATAAGAGTCTACCGTATAGGAGATGATGTTTTGTATTTTTTTGTTTTAGTTGCTAGTTTTGGATGTCTATATTAGTTATTTATTACTTTTATAAAAAAATTATTATTCTTACTTTTTTCTAAAAAACACTATTGATAAAATTCACCCAGCCATTTTTTTTTTTAAATATTCATAATATTTATTTAATGGGTATCACGCTTAGGAGAGGGTATCATTATAAGCACTACAGTCAACACCTTAGATTTGTATATTTTCTAGGTTCTCACGAAAATGTGGAAATAAAAGTGGAGGAGGTCCAACAAGTGAAACTTCATATTAGGTATGACCACCTAAATATTTGACTATCCTTTGGAGACATAGTCCTATATTAGAAGGGTAATACTTAGGATTACTTATGAATATAAAATCTTAAATACTCTAATTATCCTGTATCTAATTTTCTTTATTAAAAAAAAAAAGAATGATCATCTTTACTATACCTCTACATCAAATAATCTAATTACAAAAAACAGACTATTCTAATCTCTAAAAATTGCTCAAAATTACAAATATATATGCTATAAAATTAGGATTGCAAAACAAATTAATTAATTATTATATCACTCATATTAAGTATAAATTAAATTATTCATATAAAAATTAGTTATTCCATATTTTTTAAGAGGAAAGCAATGCAAATGTTGAAATGAATTCTCAATAACATCATTAACTTCTACTACAATCAAATCCAAATCTACAAAATTACATAGGCTGCTTTTATTAATATTTAGTATAAACTTTAAAGTAAAGTAATAGAAATTCAATATTAAAATAAAAGACAAAAAGAGTATGAATTTTAAATCCATGTTCTCCAAAACTGAAACATGATGGCACGATATGACTGAAATTATAGATAAATAGTATTTGTAAATCATTAATTGTAATATCAATCCCAAAGATTTTCTAATATTGATTTAGAAAAATTAGTTTAAATTGTAAAAGGAAAAAATTTAGATTATTAATAGCAAATATGAATTCTTATTCTTAGAAGTAGGACCAAGAAGTAGGACCAAGAAGCTAAGTAAATTAAAGATAAAATGCCAAAAAAATGAAATTTTGTTTTAACAAAACAATATCAAAATTTAATGGAAAAGATCTCTTGAACTACGAGTTTAGTTGATCATGTCACACCAATAGATTTAAACACAATAGCATAGGTTCACCAAGATGATGATCAATTATCATGAAGAGAATTATTTAACAATTTTTGTATTATTTATGTTTAAAAAAATAATATTTATCTTTTTATTAAAAAATCCCTTAATAGGGAGAATTCAAATTTATTTATTTAATTATTTAATTTAATGTACTTTTTTCAACCAAAAGTAATAGAAAAAGAAACAGATTTGTTATGCAAATTACACTAATAAAAAATTGCATATGTGAATCTGGAGCCTTAATTATTTTCAAATCAAAGGCTCTTATGCAAGTCATGTGGCCAATAGAATCCATCCAATTCTTAGATCGTGGATTATCAATAGCTCAAATAAAACTTTGATAACTAACAAAAGGAAAGGATTTAAATATACTAACCAATAGTCAAGCCTCACATTGAACATGTTGAAAGCTTTTAGAAAATGATAGATGTTCTAAAAACAAAATTGATTCAATAGCTAGATTATCTATTTTGGGTTTCAAAGACTGGCTTAATCGATTCTTTAATTTAATACAGCCTTTTCGGAGAAATAGATTTGTTAATCTAAAACCAAATGCCAATCATTAATTCAAAAAAAATTATTAAAAGCATTTAAAAAATCAACAATGATTTTAACACTAAAATCAACCCAAAATTGGAATAATTCAAACTCTTACCACCAGAAATGTTAGGAAATATTTGTAAATCTAAAAAGTATAACTCACAGTAGATAGAAGTTAATTCATAGTCTATTATCCTACCAATCAAATAGGAAGCGTAAGCTTATGAATGGAAAGAGGATTTGTTTGAGATTATCGCTTAATCGAAAGAAATAGATTCATCAATATACACCATTTTAATTAGGATGTTAATAAAGAAAAGACTTCTGATTGTCTAAGATTTCTATAGAAAAATGAGAATCAAAAGCTTTACTAATTATACTTCAATCCAGAAATGAATTTAAAAAAGGTTATGTGGAGAATTAAGTTTATTAAAACCTTGGTGGATAATGTTAATCAATATGACTTTAGTAAAATAGACTACTCAGTCGAATTATATCAATAAACTAGGAAAATCTCATCAAAAAAAAATACAAAAAGATGAGAAAATAATTGAATTGTTTAAATTCTTTGTTCACCTTACAGCTTTTGATAGTAAGCTTATTTAATGTGGATCAAATGCAATTAATCTATTAACTGAATTAAAAAGTTGATCTTCGATATTAATGCTTTCAGAATATCAGAATAAAGAATACATTATTAATTGGTGGTAACTTTGTTTGATGCAACTTGAGTGGATCTGAGTTGGATAATGAATATATATTAGTGGAATGAATTTGAATGGTGCTTAATTATTAAATTGCAAATGGAAGAACTTGAAGATCCATGAGTTGAATAGATTGGATGGTCTTGATGGACCTGTTTCATCAGTTTGTTTCTCTCCTGATAGAAATACATTAGCTTCTGATAGTAGAGATACGTCTATCTGTCTAAGGGATATCAAAAACAAGTATTTTTCAGATTATAGATTTAAAGAAATTTAGGTTAAAAATACAAGATATCCTTTTTTTAACACCCCTTTGCAGTAAAAGAATATTATTTAAAATTTAGATACATCTAATAATATGGTTTACCCAAACTTCAATTTTTCAAGGTTTAAGAGAATTTTTTTAAAAAAACCGTTTCCTTTTAGGAGAATTATTGGAGTAGCACTTGATTAATTTAAAAACTAACCTATATTAACCCTTAATTTAAATCTATTTTAATATACTTCTTGTGTCCAATATTTGTTGATAGAGTTCTATTTTATAGTTTTTTTCTTTTTTAACAATCTTGAAGCATTACTAAAATGGAAATTATTTTAGCACATTTTAAAATATTATGAAATAGAACTTTTAGTTGCATGAATGCAATAATATCTTAAATCTTTGTATACTGTTTTTTGGTATTATTCTTATCATAACCAAGCATTTTCTCTCAATTTATAATTAGAATGTGAATTTTACAAGATTTATAAAGTAGATTCTACAACTAAATCTTTCAGCATTTATCATTTCTAAGTTTTCTAATCTTCGTATTTCTTGAGAGTCAATATATTCTAATATTCACAAAATAATATTTTTCTCAACTCATATTGAATTAACAGTAATACTATTATTTTTTTATTAAATTGATTTTATAAACTTTAAATTTTAACAATGTTATTGAAAAATTTTTATTAGTAAAATACTTATTTTGGAAATTTAAGAGAAAATACCCATGCATTTAAGTGTGGCTAATATGAATGCTTTTTTATATATTTAAATAATTTATTGTCCAAGGAGGTTGTTATAGAGAAGATAAATTTTATTAAGATTATCATTTATGTTAATCAAATACCAATAATTATTTCCTTTTTAATTCTACAATTTAGGTGCAATTTCTTAATTTAATTGTAAAATATAACCATTTGATGAGTTTTTAAAGACTTAAGGGATATTATTTTTGAATAGATATTAATTAATTTTGTAAAAATCATTTTGAAGGGACAACATTGATGATACATTGAATAATAACTGTTTATTATTTGATGTATGTAAAATTTCACGTCGAGCTCAAGTTAATCAATAATTAAGATTCATATATATAATACGGTTAGAGAAGATATAATTGTCTTCTTAAATCTTAATAATTTCAAAAATATACCACATTTTTAATATGTTTTCAAAGTTTTTTAATATCTTATCAATTAACAGGTGATTGATATATTATCTTGAATTGAGAGTAATGTTAAAATTAATCAATATCATATTGTTTTAACTTTATTATATAGTTTAGAAGATTAACTTTATTTTTTTAATTCTTGTCATATCTTTTTTATTATTATCTTTGTTATTAAATATATCTTTTACTATTTATAAACTAATTGTACAAAGTTATTAATTATATCTTTATAAGTAATAAATTAATTAAATTAAAAGAATATCTTATGAAATAATCATGCAGTTTTTAGTTAAGTTTGGTTTCAATTAAGCAATTTAAATCAATTTTTATTTTAATCACTTCAAATCTGTGCATACTGTTCTCTGTTTGGATGATTAATTTAATGTAATATCATTTAACATTAAATCTCTATAAATGTTAATTAATATATAAGGAGATCTCAATAAATATACCCTACATTTCCTTAAAATGGAATACTTTTGAAAAACTTCTATGAATCTTAAGAAATCAAAATAAAGAATAGAGCAAAAAAAAGATATAATTAAAAAAATAAAGAAGGAATTTAAATAATAATTGTTGTAATGTTGTTTATGAATAATAATTATCACTTTTATTTAAGGTCTTCCAAAAAGCAACTTCCTTTTGATTTGAATAAAGGTTTTAAATCTTTTCCTTAATGGTTTATAAATTCTCCTTATAAGATAAGAGCACCTTATGCTTCCAATATTATAGATGAAGATATAACAAGATATGAATAATTAGAGACTAAGTAATAATAATACAATAAATACCTGGTTGAGGATTGTTCTAAAAAAGTGGTGCTTTGAATTTAGCAAGAATATATTTATACTTTTTATCAGAAGACGAAATTTCTTATCCTGTCTTTACATCCCATAGACGGATAGACCTATCATAACTACCAGAAGCTAATGTATTTCCATCAGGAGAGAAACAGACTGAGTAGACAGTACTACTATGACCATCTAATTTGGCTTTTTATTATCCTGTTTTGACATCCCATAGGCGGATAGAGTTATCCCAACTACCAGAAGCTAATGTATTTCCATCAGGAGAGAAACAGACTGAGTTAATACAACCACTATGACCATCTAATTTGGCTTTTTATTATCCTGTGTTGACATCCCATAGACGGATAGACTTATCATCACTACTAGAAGCTAATGTATTTCCATCAGGAGAGAAACAGACTGACTAGACATAACTACTATGACCATCTAATTTGGCTTTTTATTATCCTGTTTTGACATCCCATAGAAGGATAGACTTATCACTACTACCAGAAGCTAATGTATTTCCATCAGGAGAGAAACAGACTGAGTAGGCAGTTCCACTATGACCATCTAATTTGGCTTTTTATTATCCTGTTTTGACATCCCATAGGCGGATAGAGTTATCCCAACTACCAGAAGCTAATGTATTTCCATCAGGAGAGAAACAGACTGATTAGACACAATTAGTATGACCATCTAATTTGGCTTTTTATTATCCTGTTTTGACATCCCATAGACG